GGGGTTATACAGAGCTCAGTGAACTATGGAGCGTCTGACCCACATTGACTATCTCTCTGCAGATGTTGCATTACTCATCTGAGGGCGGCATCATCAACACACCTCCAATATACAGATGAGGAAACTGAGGCACAGAGGCTCAGGGCTTCCCCAAGGTCACACACAGTCACAGCAGAGCAGGGGTTGGCGACAGGCCGCCTGTCTCCCTCAGCCACCCCTTCGGCCCGTCCACTGTGTCATGACCACGTGGGGGAGGAGTTGGGGTGTGGAGTCAGGGGGACACCTGGGGGCCGTGAGCCTGGGCGTGTCTGGGGACAGCCCTGGCCTGGGGTTAGCGCCCACTGCTGTCCCTGCCCCGGTGAGACCCAGTGCCAACGCAATTGGGCCCCTTTGCGTTGCTGCCCAACTGTCAGCACGGCTGCTCAGGGGACCCCAGAGCAGGCGCACGGGGCTGGCTCAGCAGGCTCTTCCCTGGGGTGACACAGCCCCCAGGAGAGGGTGGCCCTAGCCAGCGAGGACGGGAGGGGCCCGGAGGGCACCCACGGCATGCGGCACTCCACGATCCTCACACCCCGGGGGGCAGGTGCCAACAGCCCATCCTACAGATGAGGAAACTGAGGCTCAGAGGAACTAAGTCGCCTGACAGAGCTCACACAGCGGAAGTGGGACTGCAATGCAGTTTGGGTGCAGAGCCCCAGGGAAGGGAAGGCCTGGGTCACTGAGCCTGCTAACCCCCCTCTCCGGCAGCGCCTCCCCAGCTCTGGAAACACCCGAGTCACGCACCACACCCGCCAGCCCTCCTGTGTCAGCCCCTGCAGCCTGGCTCCGTCACCATGGAGACCGTGGCTCACACTCCCCTCGGCACCCGCTTCCAACCTCTACACTAAGATGGGGCCCTTCTTCACACCTTTCTCCTCCTCCCGGCCTCTCATTGGACAAAATAAGAACCCGTGAATCCATTGATAGTAAATATGGTCCCATCAAACCCGTGCAGCAAGGAGCAAGCCCACTCCCTGTCTCAGGGCAGGGCAGGAGCCCTCCAGTGTCCCGGCTCCAACACAGAATCACAGGAAGGGGGCAGGAGGAGCCGGGGTTCCCCATCGCCTCCAGGCCCTCCTGGGTCCCCCTTGGCCAGCCCCTCACTCTACGCCAGGCACCCAGCCCCCTGGCGAGCACCCGGCTGCTATGTGCCCGCTGCAAGCTGCCACGTGCCATGCCAGAGCTCCCACTGCAGGGCCAGGGCGGGAAGCCACAGCCCCCTGCCAAGAGCAGCTGAGCACACGGAGGTGGCAGGGACCTCGGAGACCCCCGAGCCCACGCTGGGCGTGGAGGGAGGAGACTGAGGCCAGAGGAGGGCGGTGCCCACTCCAGGTGAGGCTCTCACCGGCACAGGCACCGGGGTCAGCACCCAGGCCAGCCCCCTGACTGCTTCCCACCTGCTTGTCACTGTTACCGAGCCGCGGGACTAAAGAGTGGCCTGAGCCCGCCCTGGCTCCACACCTTGCTCTCCCTGGTGCGCTGCCCACCAGTCAACACTGGCTTATCCTTGGTCCCACCCCTCAAGGCCCTGCCTCTGCTACCAGAAAGCTGGACAGTGAGATGGACAGTGTCACTGGAAGGCTGACCGCGGTGGGTGGGGGGTGTCCTGTGAAGCTGAGTGTGCCGAGTGCCTTCAGCCAGCACGTCCGCTCCTCACTCCGGCCCAGAGAAACGCGCCCGGGGACGTGAGGACGGTGCACAGACAAGCGCATCACATGTGAAACAGCAGCATGGAGACAGCAGCGCAGGCAAGCTGTGTGGTCTGGACATGGGCTGTTACGGAGCCTCAGTTAATGAGACAGCTCTCGGGAATCTGCAGGACAGCATCCTGACAACGAAGCTGCCTGGAGAGCAGACTGCAGCGGGATCGTCCCTTTCCCACAGTTTGAGGACCACACGCGTTGAGCGTCACCTGTGGCCACGCACACATATGAGCAACAGCTACATGAAGGCAGGAACTTGTCCGGTGGAGTCGCTGCCATCTCCCCAGTGCCTAGGCCAGTGGTCGGCAAACTTTTTAAACAGGGGGCCGGTTCACTGTCCCTCAGACCGTTGGAGGGCCGGGCTATAGT